CTATAGGTGTGTGTCACCACACCTGGCTAATTTTTTTTTTTTTTTTTTTTTGAGACGGAGTTTCACTCATATTACCCAGGCTGGAGTGCAATGGCGCGATCTCGGCTCACCGCAACCTACGCCTCCTGGGTTCAGGCAATTCTCCTGCCTCAGCCTCCTGAGTAGCTGGGATTACAGGCATGTGCCGCCATGCCCAGCTAATTTTTTGTATTTTTGGTAGAGATGGGGTTTCACCATGTTGACCAGGATGGTCTCGATCTCTTGACCTCGTGATCCACCCGCCTCGGCCTCCCAAAGTGCTGGGATTACAGGCTTTAGCCACCGCGCCCGGCACCTGGCTAATTTTTGTATCTTTTGTAGAGATGAGATTTTGCCATGTTGCCTAGGCTGGTCTTGATCCCCTGGGCTGAAGCAGTCCACCTGCCTCAGATTCCGAAAGTGCTGGGATTACAGGCTCGTGAGCCACTGCGCTGGGCCTCAAGCTTCTGTTCATCTTAAGACAACAATTTTGTGGAAATTGGTTACGGGAGCCACAGGACGCTGAGCCACTCTGGGCCAGGAGCTTGCTGGTCCTGGCAGCCTTTGAGAGTGCTGTGGATCTGCTTTCATCTTGGGGCCTGGTCTTAGGCACAGCGTGGCCTGGAAAGTGGTTCCCCTCATGGGCTGAGGGAGCTAGACCCTTGCAGCCACAGGTAGGACCCCATACCCACCCTCACTTTGCTTTTTTCCCCACTCATCCATGGAGACTTCCATGCTGCTTTTTATCTTCCCTGCCTTTCTCATGTTTTCATTTTGTGTCTTAAATGCTGTTGGAGTGGAGCGGACACCTCAGTGTGTGAACCTGTGCCAGAAGCCCGGGGGTTTGTTGGCATGGCCTGTAATCGGCGCGGAGGCTGGGCTTAGGAAGGCAGCAAGGTGGGGAGCCACCCGAGGATAGAGAAGCCTGAAAGCATGCCTGGAGGTGGGGTGTGGTGCGGTCAGGGAGCTGGAAGGTGTTCCATGTGACTGATAGACATCACAAGGTTTGTGGTGAGTGCCCAGAGATTTTTAAAAATTTTCTTTTTGAGATGGAGTTTCATTCTTGTTGCACAGGCTGGAGTGCAATGGCGCAATCTCAGCTCACTGCAACCTCCACCTCCCGGATTCGAATGATTCTCCTGCCACAGCCTCCCAAGTAGCTAGGACTACAGGCATGCGCCACCGCGTCCGGCTAATGTATTTTTAGTAGAGACAGGTTTCACCATGTTGGTCAAGCTAGTCTTGAACTCCTGACCTCAGGCGATCCACCTGCCTTGCCTCCCAAAGTGCTGGGATTACAGGCGTGAGCCACCACACCTGCTAAGATTTTAATCTGAGAAGGGATTTCTGGAGATTGTGAAGGAATTTGGACTTTCCCCTAAGGGCAGTGGGAAGCTGGCACTCCACAGGGTTCCGTGACACAGGCTTTGCTCCATAGTGTCCCTGCGGCATCCTGGGAGAGAAGAGGAAAGTCAAAGGCACGACTCCATTGAACTCACTGTGGTAACTCCCAAAGGAAACAGTGGCTGGGCCAGGCACGGGGACAGGCTTGTGGAGCGGTACATGGTGCCTGGAAGGCGGGGACACAGGCTTTTGTGATTGGCTGAATGTGAGAGGAGAGCATGCAGGAGAGGTCAGGAAGGACTTCCCCCATCCCTGCTTAGCCCCATGTTCTCAGTACACCTGTGAGGATCAATGTCATAGGTTTCCAGGCTGAGGATTACATACATGAGGGTCTACGGTGCACTCAGTACAGAGGTGGGGTCAGTTTCTACCTCAGCAGCCTCCCATTGTTGTCACTTCTCCTCCTCTGTCTCTGGTACTCCCACTTTCCTCTTTGTAGGGATCATTGTGGTGACATCAGACCTACCCCAAGTCTCCCCATCTCAAGATCCTCAACTTGGTTCTTTCTTTCCTTGTAGGGTCACGTATTCACAGCTTGTAGGGACTAGGATGTGGCCATTGTTCAAGCCACTGCAGTCATGGTAAAAATAAAAATTAAAATAAAATTTGCAAAGCCCTGATCAGCCTGCAAAGGGACAGGCAAAAGAGGGAGGGGATACAGGACACAGGTTTGGTGGTGTCAGGGTGAGGTTCGTCTCCTGGTGCAGGGGAGGCAAGAGTCGTCAGTATTTGTCGTTACTCTGTCCTGACTGGCCTCTGAGTTCTCCGTGTTCAGGAAGAAGGTAGTGAAGTTAAACAGGGCTTGCTGCTTTGTGGCTGTGGGTTTTTTTCACATCTGCTGATGTGTGAGGCTGGCCTCAGGCTAGAGTCCTGTGTCTGACACAGCCTTGCCCTCAAGGTTCTTCCTCCCTGTAAAGCAGTTTCTCCGCTCAGCATTTGGGGTCAGATCATCCTCCAGGGCTGCCTCGTGAGCTGTAGAAAGTTCTACACCTTCCATGGCCTCTGCCCACCAGATGGCAGCCAGTAGTTGTCCCCTTCTACACCTCCTCCCCGCTCCACTCCCACCAAACTCCCGAAACCGTCTTCAAACATGGCCAAATGTTCCCTGAAGGCCAAACTGTCCCCAGGGTGAAGGACCACTGCTGTGACGAAATGGCCCACTTTTCCCAGAATTCCTGACAGCCTGGTGCTCACTGTGTGCGGGTCCCTGAGACCATTCTCAGGTTGACCAAAAGGACTCACAGAACTCCTGAAAAGCTATAGTATTCACAGTTACAGTTTAGTACATTGAAAGGTTGCAGATTAAAATTACAAGGCTCGGTGTGGTGGCTCACGCCTATAATCCCAGTACTTTGGGAGCCCGAGGTGGACAGGTCGCCTGAGGTTAGGAGTGAGACCAGCCTGGCCAACATGGTAAAATCTTGTTTCTAAAAAAATATAAAAATTACCAAGGTGCAGTGGCATGCGCCTGTAGTCCCACCTACTCGAGAGGCTGAGGCAGGAGAATTACTTGAACCCAGAAGATGGAGGTTGTAGTGAGCCAAGATTGTGCCACTGCACTCCAGTCTGGGCGACAGAGACTCTGTCTAAAAAAAAAAAAAAAAAAAAAAAAAAAAAAAAAAAAAATTAGCATTCAGCTCCCAGTGGAGTTGTGTAGACAGTGTTTAATTCTCCAAATGATGATGTGGACCAGGAAGCTTACCCAAGCCTTGGTCCTTAGTTTTTTTATTGGGGGATCTGTTATGTAGGCATAGAGCCTGTATAAATTACTTTGGCTACTCAGCCGCTCCAGAGATTCGCCTAATACATTGTGGCCTAGTGCCCCAGGCAGGCAAAGACGTTTTATCGGGCAGGATATCCCAAGGTCTCAGAGGTTACCCCCAGCAGCCAGTCAAGGATCAGACCTTTCTTAAGAATTGGCATGGTGGCTCAGGCCTGAAATCCCAGCAGTTTGGGAGGCTGAGGTGGGTGGATCACTTGAGGTCAGGAGTTTGAGACCAGCCTGGCCAACATGCTGAAACCCCATTTCTACTAAAAAAATATAAAAATTATGTGGGCATGGTGGTGTGTTCCTGTAATCCCAGCTACTCAGGAGGCTGAGGCAGAAGAATCGCTTGAACCCAGGAGACAGAGATCGCAGTGAGCTGAGATCATGCTGCCATACTCCAGCCTGGGTGACAGAGCCAGACTCCATCTAAAAGAACAACAAAAAAATAGAATGTGCAGGGTGTGGACAACCCAGGCTTGCTAAGCCGGCCCTGCACATTCCCTGTAATGTATGTGTGATGTGGCAGTGTGACATTCCAGCATCATGGAATGATGAGTTTCGCGTTTACCTTTTTGGGGTAAGGGTCATTTTTTTCTTTTTCTTTCTTTTTTTTTTTTTTTGTTGTTGTTGTTTGAGACAGGGTCTCTGTCACTGAGGCTGGAGTGTGGTGGCATGATCACTACTCACTGCAGTCTCAACCTCTTGGGCTCAAGCAATCCTCCTGCTCAGCCTTGCAAGAACCTGAAACCACAGGCATATACCACCATGCCTGGCCAATTGAAAAAAATTTTTTTGTAGTGATAAGGTCTCCCTGTGTTGCCCAGGCTGCTCTTGAACTCGGGCTTAAACGATGGTCCCCCCTTGGCCTCCCAAAGTGTTGGGATTACAGGCGTGAGCCACTGTGCCTGGCCCACTTTGTTCTTTTGAGTAAGTTTAATGTTGGGAGTCAGGTAAATGTGTATGTTCCCATACCAACTCTAAATCCTGCAAGTTGCACATTTTGTCTTAGCCTATGTTATACTTTAAACCTTTCTTAGTAAAGAGTGTGAATGACTCCTTTCCAAACTTGCCATCTAATAGCAGTTCTAATCATTCACCTTCCGTTTCTTTTGTGTGTATTGGTGCCTTGCCTGTGCTCCCCTGGCACTGAGGTTGAATGCAGTTGTTTGCATTTTATTGTCTTTGTCTTCTATTTCAGCACTAAATTTGCTGTTCACTCCTCTCTCTCTCTCTTTCTCTCTCTCTCTCTCTGTCTCTCTCTCTGTCTCTGTCTCTCTCTCTCTGTCTACCCCCTCGTTTTCTTTAAGGACTTGAATGCCTGATTTGCCTGAAGAATGTTACATGTCTGTTCAGAGGAGAGATTGGGACCTGCCATGAAGGTCATGCCTGGAGGAGAGAGTCTCCCTGAGGAATTAAGCGTAGGAAAGGAGGTCTCAGGCACCAAAAGTGTTTTAGAGCAGTAGAGTTCTCAGAAGAGATTGCCTGGGAAATAAGAGTATCACTGGGGTGACATCCCAGCAGCTGCAAGTGTTGAGGCCCTTGTGAGATGGCCCAGACTTAGGTTCTGTGTTCCTGGACAGGAGTTGGTCCCCAGCATGCTGACATCTGCAGGAGATGATGCTGGTGGAAGAAGTTTGCCAAACCTTTGAAGGGAAAGGTAAGAACTGCCTAAAATATGGCATAGAGAAAGCAAAATTTCTGTATTGCATGGCTTGATACTTGATATTCCAGGAAAAGAAAAATTTTTTTCCTGAGAATATGGGGCAAGAAAAATGCCACCATTCAAACCTGGGAGAATGACAAGTGTTCAGCGTCTGGAGGGGGCTGCCTTTGACCTTTCTTCTAGCCCAAATGGGCGGGGGGCTGCCTTTGTCCGTTCTTCTAGCCCAAATGGGCGGGGGGCTGCCTTTGTCTGTTCTAGTTCTTCTAACCCAAATGGGAGTTGTTTTGCTTTTTTTTTTTTTGAGATGGGGTCTTGCTCTGTTGCCCAGTCTGGAGTCCAGTGGTGTGATCTCAGCTCACTGCAGCTTTGACCTCCACGGCTCATGCGATCCTCTCACTTCAGCTCCTGCTCCTACCAGTAGCTGGGACCGCAGACTATGCCTGGCTAATGTTTTTGTAGACATGGGGGTCTCACTTTGTTGCCTAGGCTGGTCTTGAACTTTTGGACTCAAGCAGTCTTCCTGCCTCAGCTTCCAAAGTGCTGGGATTCCTGGCATGAGCCACCACACAGGCCTTCGAGGTCAGAATTCAAGGCTCTTCATCAACTAGAAAGCAGTGTGCAAATGAAAGGCACCATCAGGTCGAGCGTGCGATCAAGTGAACAAAGGCAGAGATACAGGGTGCACTTCTGGAATGCTCAGTGGTTTCCAGTAACCTATTGGTGCCTGCAGAGGGTGTGCTTCAGTGCCAATGTGGCGATAGGAGTCAGATGTGGGGAAGGGTTTGGTGCCACATTCAAGAGGGTTTTTGCCAAACTCTTGGTGGGACAGTGATGTGACTGCTGCCAAGGGATTAGACAAGTAGAAGATAAGGGTTTGGTGACTGAGTTCAATAGAGAGGGTGACAGGCGTGCCCTGGCAGTAGGCAGTACTTCCAGCTGAGACCAAGGGAGGGCATGCCTGGACAGTACCCCCTCCCAGAGCCAAGGGAAGTTCCCTGTGCCGCCCTACTGGGGAGTGTCACATCCTCCTTGTCCCCATGCCCCCATTGTCATCATTTCTGAAACCAGCTTATGATCCACTGTGATATGCTAAAGGTACAATTACTTAGACATGTGGCCTCCGCCTCCCATACTTAGTCACAAAATGACAGGAAAAATGCCCCTCCTTTCCCTTGACTGTTGAGGGAGTTGCTGCTTGTCTAGGCTCACAGCTGAGTTGCCGTGCACGTGACTGGGCACTTGTCCTGTGCCTGAGGTACCGTAGGTCTGTACCCAGGCATGAGGCCTGTTGCTGTACCTGGGAAGCCCTGCTTGTCTCAGGCCGCCCCTCACATTATCTAGGTAGGGTGGGTGTGGGGTCTAGGAGCATGGGGAGCCGAGGGGCTGAATCCCTGCTTGTTCTCCACCCCAGGTTGCCTTCTGAGGACCTCTGCCCTCTCCACAGCAGCCTCTTGAGGTGCAAGGAGGAAATGGAAACACGTTCTCAGCTGGTTCCACCCCAGGTGAGTGGGGGTCTTTGCTGTCAGTGCCTTGGTCTCCACAGATGTAAAATAGATCCAGGAATAGCACCCGCCCCTGCAGGGTGTCACACAGGAGTGCTTTGCAGTGTTGACCAGTGCTTCCCAGTGAAGCACTTCAGCTCCCTGCAGTAAAGTGCCATACCTGTCACCAGCATGGCCGAGCCTAGAGATCCCTGGACTAGACCCAGCACAAGTCTCCCGTGCCTGTTCCACCAGGCCAGGTCTATGCTTTGGTCATTTTGTTTTTGGTTGTTTCTCAGGCCTTTGAGGATGGGTGGAGCTAAGCCCCACACCCCAAAAGCCACACTGGACCCTCAACCCGCATAGAAGCCCCTGGCTGGGGGAATGTCCCCTTAAAGCACTGTAGTGACCTGCAGTGTCCCCTGTAAATGGTGAGGGACCTCTCTTCCAGCCTTGCAGACGGTCGCGGTCTCACTGTGTCCTTATGTAGTGAGGAGAGAGAAAGAGCACACATGCCCTCTGATGTCTCTTCCTCTTCTTATTTTATTTTTGAGACAGGATCTCCCTCTCTTGCCCAGGATGGAATACAGTGGCACGATCTTGGCTCACAGCAGCCTTGAACTCCTGGGCTCAAGCAGTGCTTCAGCCTCGGTCTCCCAAAGTGCTGGTATTACAGGTGTGAGCCACCATGCCCAGCCTTTTCCTCTTCTTGCAAGGACTCTAGTCCTATTGGGTTAGGGTCCCACCTTTATGTCCTCATTTAATCTTACTCACCTTCTTAGATACTTTTTAAACATTTAACCTTAATCATCTTCTTAAACAGTCACTTTGGAAGTTAGGGTTCAACATGTGAATTTGGGGAACACAGTTCATTTCATAGCATTAGCCTTTTGAAAACACACCACAGCCCTCATTTGTCCTGCGGGCTGCAGTTTGCCCATCGCTATTTTAGAGCATCTTTTTTACCTCATTTCAAATCTGTGATTTTGTAAAGAGACAATGGGTGAAGATCTCCTAGTGGAGTTCCTGTCATTTCCAGTCCAGAAATCAGGACCACTGCTGTGACTGGCAAGAGGTGAGATGCCCAGAAAAGGAACGGTACAGACTACATACGTGGAGCTGTCCCAGTCCATTTGGGTTGCTATAATAAGATACCTTAGAGTGTTCAATTTATAAACAACAGAATTTACTGCTTACAATTCTGGAGACTGGGAAGTCCAAGATCAATGTGCCAGCAGATTTAGTCTGTTTGGGGCCTGCTGTCCCATAGATGGCACCTTTTATTGTGTCCTTTTATGGTAGAAGCTAAACACAGGCTCCCTTAAGCCTCTTTTATGAGGACATTAATTGCCTTGAAAAGACCCCACCTCTTAACACTATCTCATTGGGTATTAGATTCCAATGTATGGATTTTGGGGGGACACCAACATTTAGACCTTAGCAGGTCCTCCATGAGGGCATGAGGACCTGGGGTCCATGAGCAGTAACAAGTGCCCTATTTCAGGCATCTGTGTGCTTCGAGGATGTGGCTATGGCCTTCACACAGGAGGAATGGGAACAACTGGACCTGGCCCAGAGGACACTGTACCGAGAGGTGACACTGGAGACCTGGGAGCATCTTGTCTCCCTGGGTAAGGGGCTGTGCCCGTGGAAGGAGATTCTACCCCCAAGGACTCAAAGCTGTACTAGTTCTGAAGCTGTTCTGGAATGGGCTGGAAGATGTGGAAGCAGTTCCCTTTTGGGTACAGGGGTCAGGGGTTGCCCCTCATTCTACCTCTGGGACAGGTTTGTAACTTGTAGTCCCAGGAGTGGGGGATTTCCTTGCGATGGCACTAGGGGCTGAAGCCTGGACCCAGGACATGGTTCTTTGTTTCCAAGCTGAGGGCCAAGTCCTTTTTCCCTCTTTAACCAGGGCTTTTGCTTTCCAAACCTGATGTGATATCTCAGCTGGAGCAAGAAGAGGACCTGTGCAGGGCAGAGCAGGTGGCCCTCCAAGGTAAGAGCAGACCTTGTGGTGAGCAGCTCAGCAGTTAACAAACTTGGGCAGAGAGCTCTCCACAGGGCCCCAGGGGCCAAGGAGGGAGCTTCCTTTGGGGGAAGCTTCCTTGGGTGCTCTCTGCAGCAGTTCATCCATTCAAAGGAGTTCACTCATTCCATGCAGTTCACCTATTCAAAGTATGCTGTTCATGGCTTGCAGTGTCTTCCCCGAATCTGGAACCATCACTACAATCAGTTTTGGAACATGTTCATCATCCCAACCATTTAGGCTTATTTACTTGATTTGTTTTGTTGTTAATTAATATATTCGTTATATATATACAACCATTTAGGCTTATTTACTTGATTTGTTTTGTTGTTAATTAATATATTCGTT